GGGAGGGGAGGGGAGGGGAGGAGAGGGGAGGGGAGGAGAGATATATGAATATGCTACATTGGCTGGTTTACAGAGGGAGGAAGGCCATGAACCAAGAAGTGCATGCAGCCTCCCGAAGGTGGAAAAGTGAAGAAATGTGTCTCCCTTAGAGCTTCCAGAAGGAATGGAGGCCTGTCAAAACCTTTAGTCCAGTGAAACAGGTTTCAGACTTCTGACCTCCAGAACTCCAAGAAAATAAGTTTACCTTGTTTAAAGCCACATTTTTTGTGATAACTTTCTGTAGTAGCAATAAAAAAAACCAATATGGTGTCAAATATTAAACAAATAATAACTTACAGGGAGTGTTATTGCTGTAGATGAAATCAACAGAGTGTGAATGATGCAGTGATAGAGAAAAATGAGTGTGTATCAGAGTGTTGGGGAGACCTGGCTTGGAACGTGGTCAGGAAAAGTCTTTCTGAAAAGGTGACATTTAGTCTGAGTTCTGAAGGATGAAAGGAATCAGCTATATTAAACTCATCCTTTTTTCTTTCTGGTCTAGAACCAACTCCCCATCTAACTCTTGCCTACAACAGTGAAATGAGAGCTCTCTCATTTCAAGGAAGGTTTGCTTCTAACCCAGAGGTTGACAGAAAAGGAGTGACTTTACTTTGTAGGAGGAGGTTGGGTTTGGGGAAAGACTTTCTGGCTGGAAGCTGGTTGAGAAAGGCCTCATTGATCCCAGTCCACAAGTAGCACTCACCTTTGAACCTGGAGTTTGAGCCTGCAGCGGGCAGGTACACACCCTGCAGCTTGCAAGGAAGAGGGAGGCTTGGTAAAGGAAGTAGCTTGTCCCCAGTTGCTCAGCTAGTTATCAGCATTGCTGAGCTCAGAGCCCAGGGGTCATGTGTCCTAGTCCTGTGCTGTCCTCCTCATGATACCAGGATTAATTTTAGATGGTTGAATTGGAATACTGGAGCCAATTACCTGGCTGAGAGCACCAAATGCACTCGAGCACCTAGCTTCTTGGCTGGACTTCTTCAGACCCCAAGAGAAAGACCTTAAGGCTGGCAGTGGGGCCATCTGATAGGTGAGATGTTGGGTGGAAGCCGGGGCACCTATACCACTGCCCATGGAAGGGCTGGGACTGCTGCTGCCACTCCAGGCCAGAGAGGCTGACAATGCCAGTGAAAATTCTGCTAAGATGGCCTGTCACTGCCTTGCTGCAGTCACCTCCTGCCCTGTGATTCCAGACCAGGCAGGGAGTGGGAATGGCCAATGGCTGGCTCAGGTCCAGGACCTTCTGGTGACTAACTCCAGGCCCACAAGAGCCAAATGTCCCAGAAGCAGTATGGAGGATGCAACCTCACATCCATGAAGCAGACAGATGTTTGTGAATGTTTACTCTGTGCCCACTGTAAGGTAGGTCCAGGGGGGCAGGAAAGGGAATGAGATAGCAAAAGGAGCAAAAGGAGGGTGGGGTGGCAAATGCAAGGGCTTATGAGTCTGTCTGCTGCCCTGTTGACCATGTTCTCAAAGAATGCTAATTCGGTCACTGGTCACCTGTCCCTTGGCTTTGGCACCTGGGATGATGTAAATGCAACCACAAACACTGACAGATGGGTCCTTGTGCTGTCCTAAACAGGAGGCAATTGCAGTGAGGAGTTGTCCAGAGATTCACCCAAGTCAGTGAGGTGGGTGTCCAGGCCCATTGTCATCTACTCCACAGAATAAATGAGGGAATGAGTGAAGGAATGAACGGGAAGCAAACATCCATGCAAACTAGCTCCAGTATCCAAATGGGCAGTGAGGATCTGAGGTAGGAAAGACGTTCCTGGAAGCAGGTAGTCAAGAAGAACTTGATTGGGCAGAGGATTAGCCCCTGCCTATACCAGGCTGATCATGTACTTGTTGAGAGAAGACATATATAAAAAACGATGGAGTGACTTTAACTCATAAAAATGTCAGGGGATGTGAATTGTGCCACACACACATTCTAGTGCAGGAACAGAAAAAGATCCCACTTCACAGAGTGGTAGTATTCAGAGTTTAAAGAGGGGTGTGTGTTGGGAGGGGTGTGTTTGTGGGAGAGGAGTTAGTGATATGCTTCATTGAGGGGTGGGCAGGGGAGCACATTCTGGGATGGAATGTTGCATGTGAAGACAGGATCTGGCAGAGATTGGTGATGTTGGGGTGCCGTGCTGGGCACTGCATGGAAGAGGAGGTAGCCGTGAAGGGGTGCCATAGGGAAAAGAGGACTAAAGCCTGCAGGAGTGTAGAGGGGAGTGCTGTAGTTGAAATCTGCAGGGCCCTTTCGAGGCCCATGTATGTATTAAAGGCTTGGTCCCTAGTCTGTGGAGCTTTTGGGTGGTGATGAGATCTTTAAGGGGTAGGTCCTAGTCAGGGGTCTTTAGATCACTTGGAGAATGCCTCCAAAGAGGACTCCAGTCCCTTACACACTCTCTTGATCCTCTGGAGATAAGGTGAGTGATATTATTCCACCATGTGCTCCCACCACGATATGCAGCCCTGCCCCAGGCCCAAAGCAACAGGGCCAACCATTCATGGACTAGAACTTCCAAAACTGTGAGCCAAAATAAACCTCTCCTTTTTATAAGTTGATAGTTTCAGGTATTTGTTAGAGCGACAGAAAGCTGACTTACACAGGGAATAAACTGGTTGAAATAGCCTAGGGGGGCCTGACCCTTCCCTGAAGCCCAGAGCTAGCCCCAGGCCCTTCCCCAACCCTGGTCAGATTGCTGGGTCCTCCGTAGAGAAGATCCCCATCCTTCCCTGCTAGGCATCATATTTCTGTAGCACTATATTTTTTCTCAATTGTCTTTGTGGCTCCCAACACCTAGAGGCTGTGGCCCCCAGTCTTCAACCTGGGATTGGCTGCTCTCCTTGCCATTTCCTCTTATTCACCCACATCCTGTGTCCCCCCTGCTCCAGTGCTCCAGTGTACCTGCTCCCAAGAAGACATGGTGGTCTTCCTGTTGTGAATCTACTGCTGACTCACCCTCTTCCCTGGACCCCAGCCCACGTGTCTTTTCCTTCTGTCCATATCTCCAAACCCTACTGTTATGGTTTGAATCTGGAATGTCTCACAAAGCTGCAAGTGTTCAAGGCTTGTTCCCTATTGCAGCCAGCATCAGAGGTGGGGCTTTTAGGAAGTGACTGGGTCGTTAGAGCCCTGACTCCATCGGTGGAGTGAGACCTCTGACTCCATCGGTGGATTCATCCGTTGATAGCTGAATGCACACCTGGGAAGTGGTGGAAGTGGTAGGCAGGTGCAGTGGGGTTGGAGGAAGTACGTCCCTGGGGGCATGTCAGTTGTTCCCCAACCCCCACTTCCTGGCAGTCATGGGCTGAGCAAGTTTTGTTCCCCTTGCCTTTGTGCCATGAAGTTCTTCCTCACCTCAGACCTAGAGCAATGAAGCCAACGAATCATAGACAAGCCTTTGAAACCATGAGCCAAAATAAATCCTTCCTTCTTAAAGTTACTCACCTACCTCCTCATCTTCTGAGACCTAGCTCAAGGTCCACCCCTTCTAGGAAGCCCACACTAACTTGCCTAGTTCAGAGCTGCCTCTAACTTCCTTGAATTCCTGCAGAATTTGCTGTCCACCCCTCTTCTCTACCCTTACCATGTTGCCCCTGGGTTGTTCATTGTGCCTCTGTGGGGGAATTTTACTGGACTCCTAAGATTTGGCTGTGGATTCTGTGTAAACCTTTCTGTGTTATGATTTTTAAAAAATGTTGAGTGTTACCATTCTAATTCTACTGTGAGGATTAAAACAGCCTATTATGCTGGGCACGGTGGCACATGCTTTTAATCCCAGCAGCTTGGGAGGCTGAGATAGGAGGATCAAAGCCAGCCTCTGCAATGACGAGGCGCTAAGCAACTCAGTGAGACCCTATCTCTAAATAAAATACAAAATAGGCTGGGGATGTGGCTCATTGGTCAAGGGCTGGTACCAAGCAAAACAACAACCTATTATATACAATTTGGCTGGTAAATAGATGGCACCCAATAAATGCTTATAGTAATGAATGCAAATTTTCTCCCCTTATAAATGCCCCTCAGACATGGGGTTCCTGGTACTGTGAGGGTTCAGTCACTGCTTGCTGATATGAGAACCTCAGAGCCCAGCTGGATCTGAATGAGACTCAACAGATATCACTGGCTGGCCTCCCTAAGTGCCCAGGTCCTTGGGCCCTTTCTCACTGTTCTGTGGCTCCAGCTTCATCTATTCCACACAGATGCAGGCACAGGATCAAGGCTTCCTGTAGAGTGTGAAGAAGCGGTGGTTCTCTTCCTGGGATTACTGAGGAGCCCCTGGAGATCTTGGTCCCTGTGAATCTGTGTCTCCTGTCTTTCTGAGATTCTTAAACAGGTTCTCAAGGACTCTCCCAGCCCCAGGGATTTGTTCCCCTCTTTTCTTGGTCACAAAGAGCCCTACTTTCCTAATGAGCTGCTAAGGAGCTGTCAATTATGGATGCAAATAAAGAGGCCGGAAACCATTACCAGCCCAGAAATGAACTGAGGGAAGCAACTTTTCTTCAGCCTCCGGGGCTTGCCCCTGCTTCCCTGGGAAAGCCAAGCAGAAGCAGGTCGGGGGAGGCCGGCCTGCAGGCCCCACCGCCTGCAGCAGAACAGGCTGCTGGCTTCTTCTCACAGACTCGTCCAGTTGAAGGTTGAGCCTCAGAATCAGGTCGCCGTGCGGGGGATTGTCCATGTGTGTTATGTATCACTTTAGGGTATATATGAGGTATTTCCCATATATAAAATAAATTTCAGGTATTGAACAAATGTGGTAGACATTTATATTCTTCTTCTAGAAAATTTTTTTTTATTAGCATTTCTTTCCTGGCCACATACAAGTCTCCACAAAAATCTGCTTAATAAATTGTAATCATTTATTAAGTAATTGCTTAATCATTTTTCACATCATTTATTTTTATTTTCACATAAAAGAATATATGAGCCCATTGGGCTAGGCAAGCAGGGACAGAAGGTGGTCCTTGGGCAGCTTATCTTCCTGGCCCCAGGCTCCCAACACCTTCTCTCCCCAACAAAACCTTCTTTTTCTGATTCCTGGGGACCACCTGATTTCCATATTTTAGTAAAATATTTGACCAGGACACCACATGATGTCTTAGGAGTGTGGGTTTTGGTGTCAGACTGCTTGGGTTCAGATGCTGTTCCCTATATATTTGGAAAAATAGCTCAGCCTCTCCATGTGACAATTTCTTTATTTATACAGGCAGCTGTACGGGGAAAAAAAAATGACTTGTCTTCTCATCTTAGGTTCATGGCTGAGGTCCCCAGAACTGAAGACAGATTAACAAGAGAAAAGCACATGACGTTGTTTAATATAAATTTTAATGACATAGTGGTTGAGAAATGAAGACCCAAAGAAATGAGGCCATCTCTGTATTTTTCTGCTGTTTGATGAGGAAGTGGACAGCCGGACAGAAGCGTGACTGGACCAAAGGGGTGTGAGCTAATGAGGAGAACTTGACAGAGAGGGTCTTTGTTCATATTCTTCTCTGCATCCCAGTGTCTTCAGAGATAAGAGTGTTCATTTCCTCTGGATGCAGGGTGGGCACCTTTCATATGAGAGTCTTCTGAGCTACTTTGGGGGAAGATTAGAAAATCCTTCCCAGGTATCATGGTGGAAGAAAGGTGGGGGGAAGGTCAGAGGGAGCTTCCTGCTTCTGTTTTTTTTTTTTTTTTCAAATACCAAAGAGTTGTATTTTGGGGTGTCCTGAACGCCAACATAGACCATCACAGCACTGCTCTGAGAGGGATCTATAAAGATGAAAAGGTGTGAGTGTGTGAAGAGTCATGTGGCACCTAGACTCCCATGAGTCCTCAATCAACCTAGTGGCCTCCTAGGACTGTCCCAATAGCAGTTCCTCGCAGTGAGGGACGGTGCTGCCTCCCTCAGTCCTCACCAAGGTCTGGAGAGGGAAGGCCTATTGTCCCCATTTGCCCATGGAGAAAGGGAGAAACTGAGGCCCAGAGAAATTAACCTGAGGCCATTAACAGAGTCCCACTTTTATCATCTGAGCCTAGAAATCCTCTTCTTCCCAATACGTGTGCTGACTGCTAAGCCTTACCATGTTCCCTCTCCCAGGGGATTTGCATTGTAACGGTGGCCAGAGGTCCTATGTTAATGCACAAAGCTATGAAAATCTAATTGTGGAACCTTAAAAATCTCATTTAATGGCTGGGGAAAGTGGGCAGTGTCAGGTAGTGAGTTAGGGAAGGGGGAAGTTTTGTTTTGTTTTGTTTGTTTGTTTGTTTGAATGGCAATGAAAGACAAAGAAAATTTTTGCTGCTTTTGAAATCATTGTTCACAGGCATACTCTCTTTGTTCTTAACCCACTTGGAGGAATCTCAACCAGGAAGAGCTGCAGCTGGGAAGGTAGGACTTGAGCCTGTAGGCTTCTAGTTAAAGAACCCTTGTCCTTGAAACTTTGGAATTTGGAGAAGCTTTAGATGCTCTGAGGCCTAGGAAGGGGCTTAGGAGGGATCTGGCTGGCAGCAGAGTTTGGAGAAGATCTTCTCAAGGCAGAGCTGAGAAGCGTGGGAACAAGGCTGAGTGTCCACAAAGAGTCCTTCTCTCAATAGCTCTCTTGCAAGAATTCTTAGTTTCTGGTGTCTCTGCCTGGGTTGGGTGACTAAGGCTGGAACACATTACTGGGAGGAGCTGACATGCTTTTAAAGATACCTCTGAGTCCTGAGGTCACCTGAAGTCAGAAGTTGAGTCAATTCTACCAGAGCACAAGGGCTAAGTGAAGCACGTCTCTTGAAAGAAAATTTGGGATGTTGTTGCTAAAGAAGGAGGAACTGATACTCAGGAACCAGAAAGATATTGATTACAATTTCTATCTTGGACAGGTAATTAAAAAATAGACTTTAGAAGTACATGTATACTGGGTTTGAATACCTGTGTGATTTGAGCAAACTTCTCAAACTTCTTGGACTTTAAAATCCTCTTGAGAGCAAAGGAAGGATGCTATGTGGTTAGGATTTGGTGTAGGAGGCATGAATAACAGATGGCCATACTCCTTCCTCATACTGAATGTATGCACAAAATGTAAGTATGTGCCCTCTCTCCCTTTCAATTCATTTATTGATCAATTAAATAAATATTGAGAACTGACTATGTCTAACAACTCTATGCTACATGTTAGAAATCAGGGATGAATTCGAAATGTTTTCTGAGCTTTATTAGCTTGGAGTCTGGGGTAGTATAGTCATAAAGAAGTAGAGTTGTCTCTCAGTGTTTGTGGAGAATTAGTTGCAGAAGTCCCCTTTGACACCAAAATCCATAGAGGGTCAAGTCCCTCATATAAATTGGGATAGTATTGGCACATAACCTTTGCACATCCTCCCATAGACTTCAAACTATCTCCACATTACTAGGATACCTACTACAATGCAAATGTTATGTAAATAACTTTTCAACTATATTGTTTACTGAATAATGGCAAAAAAATAAGTCCTATATGTTCAATACAGCCACATTTTTTCCAAATATTTTCAATCCACAGGTGTTGAAAATGTTGATAGGAACCCCCAGCTATGGAAGGCCTGCTGTACAAAAATTGTGGTGAGTGTGTAATGCATTATAGCACAAAGTGTCTCTTTTCTGATGTGTACATGCAATGAGATACATATTAAATGCCATTTCTTTATATATTTAGTAATGTCTTTGCATGCAATTAAGGCTCCTGGGAAAACTAGTTTCACGTTACTATCACTTTTCTACTTCCCTCCTGTCCGCACTGTGGACCAGAGCTGCCTACACACAGCCACAGGGACAGCTCAATCCTTCGATGTTCCTTCTTTTCGCTTCCACCTGCCACGCAGCCCAGTGCTCTGCCCCACAGTAAGAAATGAGGGACTGGGGATTCCTGCAAATTGGAAAAACAACCCCAGAATAACCAAGCTGACTGTTCTGAGTTGGCTAGCCTCCCTTCTCTGCTTAGCTCCCTCTTCTTCTCCCTTAGTTGGAACCATGCCTGGTGCTGGCAGCGCGTGGGGCACCGGGACAGGCAGGTTGCAGCGCTTGGTTCTCCCCTGCAGGAGACTTCCCCCAGCCTGGCAGGAGCAGACTTCAAGCTTCTCTGAAACCCAGCCTCTGAGGGCTTGAACACCAGCGTGAAAGGTTCCAAGGGGCCCATTTCTTCACATCGGCAAAGCTATTTTTCTGCAGTGACCTTTGATCTAATTGCACGCTTGCCATCATTCAACGGGACTCACAATTCTTCATCCAGTAGGGAAATGACAAGAGACTGCAGGGCTTTAAATGTTCAGTCCTTGATCCTGTGGCTTTTTGCCTCAAATGCCACCCAGGCCCCTACAGGAGAATGTGCAATAGTGACTCCAGAGTCTAAATGTCCTAACAGCAGGAGTGCCAGGGGTCAGACCGCAGTCAAGGAAGGGGGAAGGGTGGGAGAGAGGGGACCTGAGGACATAGTTCTAATGCCAGCTGCCATGAAGGGGCTGCTGAGAAGGGCACCTGAACTCAATAGCAACTGGACTGTGACCGGTGCTCGGCTGCGTCCACTAAAGGCCTGACTGGGCAGGTAGAGAGGGTAAAGAACCTGGGGCAGGTCCAGATAAGAGGAAATCAAGTGGGGAACGAGATGGAATTCTGCTTCCTGAGAATTTGTCTGAAAAGAGCAAGTCGGGCAACGACAGGGTGCACCAATGTTGGGGAGCAGTGCCTACATCCACTTGGGCTCCAATGTGGGACCCCCCACCTCCTCTTAGGACCTCGGGACCTCCTGCTGAGACCACTGGGTGTGCTCACGGACTGGCCTCCCTGCCGCCACTCCACCCTCGCGGCTGTCAGGGGTAACCTTTGCAAAATACAAACAGGAATGTTTACCTCCCCCCCAGACTCTTCAACAGTTCTCAGAAACCTACAGAATAAGTTCAGACTCTTTGGTGTGGCTTTTCAGGTCATATGAGGACTGGCCTCGACCAACTGCTCAGGTCTTGGCTCCTGGAACATCCCACCCCACACCTTGAGTTGTGACCCCCCTCGTGAAATCTCCGTGTCCTGAGCATGCCAGGTACTGCCTCACCCATCCATCTTTGCCCAGGGGACTTCTCTGTCTGTATCTGATCATCTCCTCCTCTTTGCCCATGAGTATTTTATCTATGTTTCAAGAGCCTCCGAGAAGCCATCCCTTATCTCAGGTGAGAATTTCTGGCTCCTACACCTCCTGATTTGAACCCTAACTGGAGACATACCCACCCCTAGGAAGTTGTAAGCGATTTAAGGTCAAGACTTACATAAAAAACATGGGGGACTTTCTCTGTACGAGCTCAGTGCCAGGCTTGTAGCAAGTGCCCAATGGGCTGTGAGTATAGGAACCTGAAGCCCTTGCTGGTGTGAGTGGTAATGACCCCCAGAGCTGCATCCAGGAAGGGCAAGGCAGTAAAGGAGCAGAGAAGAGTCCTGCGTCTCTTTGCTCTGACTCTCATCATTCATTTGCCAGGCTGAGCTCAGCAGCCCTGCTGCCAAGGGATATAGAGCTTGAGGCCTGGAGGCCTGTTCCAAATGGGCCCAGCTATTCTTGGGAGCTTTTTATGTAATAAAGACAGTCTCCTAACTGGCCTGCTGACCTTTCCCCAGGCTTCCTAAAGGCTGAGTTATCACCTGGTATATGATACAAGAGCCACCCCCCACCCCCCAGAGAAAGAAGAAAAAGCTTGTAGGAAGGCCGGTAGTAATAGCTTCCACTTATTGAGCATTTACAATCTGCCCAGCATTTTGGATGTAATCTCCCATTTGATCTTTACAGCACCAACACCATAGTAAGTTAAGAATGGAAAGAAGGTGAGGTTCAGAATGGACAAGTCACTTTTCTTGAATCACACAGCTTTTCATTGGTGAGCCCAGAATCTAGTTTAGGTCTGTTTGACTCCAGAAATCCCTATTGTCAGCCACGGCATTTTACATTCTTGGGGTGGAACAAGCCATCTGCAGCTCCTCCTGTTCCTTGGGAAGCTATTTATCACCACAGGGACTCTGGATGGGCAGTTGGTTTGTGAGGACCACTCTGTCCCCTTGGGTGTCTGGAGATGGAGATAAAGAGAGATGGGAAGAGGATGAGGGTTTGTCCCACTGATTGGCCACATGTTCAGTGGGGCAGTCTGGATGACAGAAACATGCATGTCCATGCAGAATGACCTTACGGCACCTCTAACTAAAGGGGTTAGAGAGTCTCTAGGTCTCTAGCTGAAGAAAAAGTCAGGAGAGCAGGATGAGACCCTGTCAGGATCTTGGGTGGAAGGCAGCAGGGGCCCAGCTCAGCTGTTCCTCCATGGAAGCTCAGGTGGGCCACAACGGGTGGCCTGGCTGTGTCAGTTTGTCCCTCTCGGCAGAGACCACTCTCCTAGCAGAAGGGGCCACATTCCTGTATGAGAATGAGTGCCCATGTGAGCCTCTATTTGCCTCTTTCTAAGAAAATTCTTGTGTGATATGAAGTGCATTGTAATCACCACATCTAATTACAAAAAGAGAGTAAATCACCAAACAAAATTAATTTACAGAGTCTTAATTATCACCAGAAAGGATAACTAATAAGCGAAATAGGAAGTGACCAAGACAAGTCTTATAGCCAGCAAAGATGTGTTTTCCTTCTCAGTATACAGGATGTGGGGAGTGAGAGGGAGCGGACAGATGGGGTGTGTAGTGCCCAAGCCTTCAGAGCCCCAGCGGGCACTAAAACTGAATGTCCTAGGGCTCTATGCATTCTCAGAAGTTGGCATGCCTTTCAAACTTGGTTTGCAAAGTTTCTAGGTCATTCCTTCCAGCCTTCTTCCTTTCCCAGGCCTGGAGGCCAGAGTAAGGCAGCAGAATTAGAATAAATAGACATACCGTCCTCTCCTCTCCTCTAGCCCGGTGTAACAGGCTCTGGGCCAGAAACTCTCAAACCAATTGATGATAACAAGCTCAAGTTCAATGCCATTGGCTGTCTGGTGAGACCTCCCTGGCTTTTCTTGTCTCTTCTCCTTGGCTTGTATTTTTTTATTTATTCATTTTAGTAGTAGCATCATATAAATAAAACACCATTACAAAAATGTCGCAGAAAGTTCAAAACTATTCATTATCCATTTCATACAGATTAAAATTGCCATCAAGGCTGTTTGGATTTGACTTGCGTTCCTTTCCTTCTAATGAGCCGGATAGAGAAGGCAAAAGATGCTAATTCATCCTTACATCTCTATCATATCTCGGCTTTTACTATATAAAGCATCAAGGTCGCATTCTGGGGAAATGTCTTTTTACCAAAGGTGCTATAATAATAATGAAGAAGCAATTTGTTTCAGCAAACTGCCTGCAGTAATGAGGCTTAATTATAACCATGTTATTAATACCGCTGCTTAAGGTAATTCACTTCTGAGCGGGGTGCAGAACAGTAAACTATAATTTAAACAAGAATCGAGACCTAATTTAAATCATCGGATCTACTGCGGAAAAAGGCAAACAGAACGACTGTAATCCGCACGTGATTTAGAGCTTCCCCTTGGTGCCATTTCCGGGAGACTGGGTGACTGTCAGAGGGCCAGGGAGCCTGGGTCTGGGCCGGGGTCCTCGAGTCTTCCAGGAGGCTTTGTGAGTGAAGCAGCCAGGTGGACCTGAACCCAGGCACCTGCTACCTCTTGACCTCTTCCCCATGTAGGCAAAGGAAGCTGAGAGGGCAGAGCAAGGTCCTCAGCATCTCAAGGACATTTTCCAGGTGATCTTGAACTCATTGTCATTCTCTTCCCCTTAGTTACTATAAAACCATGGGAATTTATTTGACTGGACGTCTACAGAAGACCAGACCCAGACCAGGAAGGGGCGTGACTTGCTGCCCAGGAACACACAGTGGGCTTCCAGGAATAAGTCAAGGTCTTCTTCCCCACTGGTCCAGTGCTTGAACAGCAATATTAGCTTCATCTGCAGGCCTACACCTCCCTAGGCTGCTCTAACACATCGCTAATCCAAGGACCCCAAGACCTAGCAGTTCATCAGAAATCTCCCAAGATGCTTGTTAGCAAATGTAAACTCCTGTGTCCTACATCACCACCTAGATCCTGACGTCGTTCGTCTGACTTTGCACTGGGGGTCTGTGTATTTACCAAGAACTTTGGTTACCGTGATGCAGCTGGTCCATGGGACCACGTACAAAGTTCCTTCACTCTTCTGCAGTGCCAATGCATTAAAAATATACAAGAAATAGGGTGTGCATTGTGTGTGTAGTTTCTTGATTCCTCTCATGAGGTACACTTATTCATTCATTTGTTCAACACTTACACTGCACACCAGCTCTTGGTATTTGGCTATGCTTACTCCCCACTGCTGTATTCTCAGTGTTTCCCTCTTTTAATGCCTGACTGTATTCTATGTTACTCTAAATGAAAAGAAAGAAAACTGAGCACAGACTTAAGTGTGTGATAAATGTTAAAAAAGACCATGTGTAGCTCCATTTTTTTTTTTTTTTACAAGTGTCCCATGGTAAAGAGCCACCTTTTCTAAGAGTCTTCATCAATGCTAACTAAGACTCAAGAATTCCTGGCCATTAAGGCTAAGTTAATGAGGTAGTTGTGAATACTCAATCACTGAAAATTTACAAAAGCAGGAGTGATTTCTGGATTAAGAGCACTGAACACACTATTTCCAGCCCTGACTCTCGGAGACATCATAGGGCCTCTGCACCTACGGTGGTGCCCTCTTTGACTGATACCTAATTCCTACCGTCCAGCCACCTGATCATCCCTTCTCTTCCATTACCATAAACCAAGCCACAGTTCATGGAAGATTTACAGTGGTAGGCTGGAGGGTGGGAGGGAATCCAGCAGCCTGAAACCCAGGGCTCCAAGGGATGCTCACACCTGGCAGCACCGAGGCCGCTGCAGGGTGAAAGCCCCCCACATTCCTGCCCTTGTCTCCTCCAAGCCCTGTGTACAGAGGCAGGTCCAAAGGGAAGCCAAACGAGGGATGAGTGAATTAAAATTTGGACATATCCCCAAAGAAGCAACTGCAGTAAGCTGTCTCCTGAGTTCCTGAGAATTTGTCTAATAGGTTCACTGTTTTGTGATATGTGACGTGGGAAGGGGGAAGATAGGCTTTCAAATGGCTCAAAAGACAACAAAAATTCTCCTTTTTATCTTTACTATTTTTATATTTTATTTAATTGGAACATAATAATTAAAGGCCTTTCTTTTTCCTCCTCCCACCCCAGCCTGCCTCGGTTTACCCACAGTGTCGCCTGCATGCATTTCTCCATCTCTGCTCTCCTCAAGAAGCCTGCAGTTCCTCCCCTCCCTCTGCCTCTTCTGCTTTTTGTTTCTCTCTCACTTTTGTTCTTTTCCAAGACAACTCTCCTCTCCTGGGTTTCCTCACTGGTAGGAGCTCTGCAAAGCCAAATGACACCAAATGATGTCTCCAGCTGGTGGTAATGATTGGGCTCTGGCTGCACTGCAATAACAAGGCGCAGAGCTGCAAGACAGCCCAACCCGAAATGTGCTGGGAGGGGACTCGCTGCCTCTCTTCCCCTCTCTCTCTCTCTCTCTCTCTCTCTCTCTCTCTTGCTCACACACACACTGCACCCCACACACAATTACATGAATACACATGTGCATGCACATGTCACATAGTGCAAATTTACATACGTGTGTGCACACACACAGGAGAAACACGCAGACCTTGACGCTGGTGTGCATGTGCATGCAGATACAGACTCTTACGGAGCTTCAAGCTGAAACAACCCTCCCTTCCCCCTTAATTAGCCTTTCCTTCCTCCCCAAAGTGCTGCGATCACCCCACCAGTTATGGGGGCAGGCAGTCCATTTCAATCCTAGAGACACCAGGAACCCTTGCAGATAAAATCGTCTGCAGAATAGCTGGCAGTGAAGGAACAGGAGAAGAGGGTGTGGCAACGTCTGGAGAAATTCCCGCGGTGGGGAAGAAACTCCGCCCCCAGGGTTATTCTGCCTCTCAGTTTCCCTTAGGCAGTTTCATCTCATGTTCTGTGGGCTCCATGGGGGTGTCCAATTTGATGAACAATAACTACAGAGTCATTTTCAGTGCCCTGCTGTGACACGGGGTCCCACTGACCTGGCTGAACAGGGCACCGTTCTGCCTCACACAGCCCTACATATAGCCGCCCCACCCTTAGGGCCCTTGTTCCCTGGCCCCAAGTTCCTGGAGTCCAGATTCAAGTCTTTAGAGCTGAGCCTCCAGTTGTGAGTTTGGGGTTCGGAGGAAGGCTTGGATGGATTCATTCTGCACAAGGAACTGAAAGGAGGTGGCTGTTGGTGACCCCCTGAGAACTTCTGAGCCTAGCTGGACCCCAGAGGTGGACATCAGAAGGTATTTGAGGAAACCTTCCCATGGCTTTGGTCTGAAGGTTGTACATCCTATAGAAACCTATGATACTGCAGGGAGCCCCAGGGCTGCATTTTAAAACCCTGGAAATTGGAATCCCTTTAAAATAGTCCTGCTGAGGGCTGGTGTCATGGTTACAGGTCAATTGGGCTGTCACCTGTCTTGTGATAAATTTGCTCCTCCTCTAGCCAGTGTTCCTGGGATGATCTCTGCTCCTTGAAAGTATCATTCGGCCTTCCTAGGTCACTATTCTGATGATAAAAATCTCTTTCATCTTATACTTTTCAAAGCACTTTCACATCCATTAGCCCATTAATTGATTCATTCATTGTGCACATTTATTGAACACAGGAGGCACTTCAAATCTTTTAAGAACAAGGCAGGATCTAGATAAATATATGCATGCATATTGAGTATCTACAAAGAGCAAGTGGCTCTGTCGGAGTGAGGAGGGCTTTGCAGACAGAAAGAAGGGGCAGCCTTCCAAGGCAATCCTGTCCTAACTCTCTGTAAGTCAGATGGCAAACCTATTGTGGCGATTTCTCGGAGAGCTTGAACAACTTGCTGATGTCATGAAATTAGACATGGATCTGGAGCACACCTCCCAAGTCAAATCAGGTGTGCCCTCCCTTCCTTTTTTTTTTTTTTAATATTGCTTTCCAGAAAGTTCTTCCTGTGGTCAGATCTCCCCTTTCCTTCCACTTCTCTGAGCCTCTCTGGAATAAGCTGTCTCAAAGGAGGAATACTCACATCACAGTTCTTTCTGGGCCCACACATATATTGCTCCAGGGATAAGAAGGAAAAAAAGTGTGCTTGTCTTCTCTATTTCCATAAGAAGGCACGGAGACCAAGCAGTTGTTTGCATTTCATATGCAGCCTCTCCAAGGACGTTCGCTCCCTCCAGCAGAGTCCTGGGGTAGGCAAGGCAGAAGGTTGTGCTCAGTGTCTACAATTCCTCAATCCCAGCCTTTCCTGATAGGCAGGAAAAATGAGGGAGTCCCCTCCACTCTGGCCTAGAGCTCAGAGATGTCAAGGGACTTATCAGAGTTGCACTATTGACCTCCCACCTCTACCTGAGGGCTTTGCTTGTCTCCTCAGAGTGAAGAAGAAGATGATGACGATGATGATGTGTTTAGTGTGTGTGGGGGGAGAGGGGGTTGTGTGCCTGACAGATGTATGCGTCAAGTTCAAAGTTGGAGGGGGAAACCCGATAGCTGTTCTCTCTGTACATGTCATCTTGTCAAAACAAAAACAAAAACAAAACAAAACCCGAGACTCTTGAAGCCCCAGGCGCCTCAGGAGTGAGGTTACCAGTCTGTGCACTGGCTGGAGGAATGACAGTGGAGTGCCCCGGGGGTGTAGTGGGGCGCTGGCTTCGGGAGCTCCCACCTACTTGCCTGTGCCCAGGGTGGAGCCGCCCTCAGGAGAGCCCCTCTGGGACCTGCTGGGCATTGGAGCAACACCTCTCACCTGCTTGTTCTGGTCCTTGTGACAGACTGGCCTTGGCCCCAACCCTGAAGTGAAGGTTGTAAATAAGCTCTGAGTGAAGTAAACAGAAAGAGGACATCGGGAAAGGGCTTCAGGGGTCAGGGAGTGCTCCGTGCTAGGGTGGCTCTGGAGAGGAAGAGGCAGTAGGACCATCACTGCTTTTTAGCTGGAGAAGTCTCCAGGACATCACCCTGCTGCCACACAGTGCTGTCTGTCATGGCCTCTGTCATCTATACCTTACAGCCACTGCCACAGGACACCTCTTCCCTGCATCTCTGATACCGCTGTTGACCCGTGACGAGTTCTTGCTTCCCCGATGTTGAAGAATAACACCAGAAAAGCACGCGGAGGCAAGGTCAGAGTGGAGATTAGAAGTTTATTAAAGGACAGCAGAAAAGACTTCTCCCGGAGGAAGAAGGGGACCCAGGAGGTGGAATCCGTGGAAGTGCGGTTGTTTCCCCTTTTTATAGTTTTGGTGATGGAATGTAGGTTGGAAGGCCCGAGGGGTGGGACACAGGTGGGCCTAATTATCACCTTTTGGGATGGGATTATCACTTCTCTGGGATGGGCTATTTCCAAATCTGTTGGGGCTGTTGGTTAACACTTCTTTGAGGTGGACTTTGGCCTAGGGCCTTTTCAGGACTTCATTAACATTCCATGAATTGTCCGGAGTTTCCCTGAGTCATTCTCAGTATGGCCTCCATTTTAGATTTCACTCGATATTAGACCCGATTTACCTAACTACACTGACTACCTAACTTTAAATCTGGCTTCATCTCCACCTCCAGGACAAGAGGACTGGAGCACCACTCTTCACCCCTACCCAGGACCAGAGGTCTGGGGGAGAAGGGCATAGGTCGGGTCCAGGCCACATGCCAAGGTGGGTGTGCCAGGGTCTGTTCCCGTCTTATTGTGGGAGATTGGATAAGGGATAAAAAGACACATGTCTGTGTGAGGGGTGCTAGAGTCTGGTAGATCTTTTGAGGGAGAATTGATCAGAGTAGCCACACTGGGAGACACTTAATAATACTTTTTAAATAACAGAAAGACCCCCCTCCTGCGCCATTTCCTTTCCTGGTATGGACAGATGGAGAGTGAAATGGGTTTAACTCACTGTGGGAGGGAGGGAGGGGGTGGCTGTGTGCGCGGGGGCTCCTGGCAATGGGTCAGGGGTTCTGGGCCAGGGGTTCTGGGCCAGGGGAGATGACTGTGGGGTACGAGGCTCTCCTTGGGAGGAGTGAAGGGGACCTTGCAAGCCACTCCTTTTCCTATTGCTTCTTTTGAGAGGCTCAGGGGCTCTGAAATGTTAGAAGGGTCCTTTCCTAGAGTTGTATGGAGGGTCATAATGATGGAGGGCGGCCAGC